ATCTCAGACTAATTAAATGATTATAGCCTTAAGGAAAGGGCAACCGACACTCCACTCACAGTCTTCCCAATGAAAGCCTCTGTCTGCGATGAACAGATGGGTGCATATACCTTATCTCAAAAGAAAAAAAATGTAAGGAGCTGCTTGAAAGATCAGGTCAACTTTTGAATAAAAAAGGAATGACATTATTTCTTTATGAAGCCCTTTTCAGCTTTTTGCAGCAGGAATGCTATTATGGCTTTGTTGCAGAATGTAATGGTAGACTGAACCAAATGAATTGTGCCAGGCCTTCACTTATTCACATGTTGAGACATGACACAGAAGTAACAGTGACAGTAATTATCACTACTGCTTTATGAGTGTGTACTATGTGCCAGATACTCCTCCACGCTTGTGCTACCCTATTTTTACAGATAAGGAAACTGAGGCACAGAGGGGTTAATAGCTCAGGAAATAAATGGCAGATCAGGGGTTGGTAGGATGTTTCGTGACTTCCCCTCTTAATCACTCACTGTTAACAATGCTCTAGGTTTCTATTCTCTATTATCCTAATCTCCTACCCGGAGAGAACCAACAGCAGTTTGCAGCCATAGAGCGGGAGCAGGCATCCAAGACAGAGTCAGAGAAACTGAGGTCTGTATCCAAATAATTCTCCAGGAAGGACTTTCTGTCCTGTAATATGTTGACATGGGACTTGCCTTTTTTTTTTTAATTTGTTAATGTTTTATTTATTTCTGAGAGAGAGAGAGAGAGAGAGAGACAGAGACAGAGACAGAGAGAGAGCATGAGCAGGGGAGGGTCAGAGAGAGAGGGAGATACAGAATCTGAAACAGCCTCCAGGCTCTGAGCTAGCTGTCAGCACAGAGCCGGACACGGGGCTCGAATCCATGAACCATGAGATCATGACCATGAGCTGAAGTCGGAGGCTTAACTGACTGAGCCACCCAGGTGCCCCGACATGGGACTTTCTACTAGAAAGTGGGGGGCAGTGGTTTCTCAGTGTGTTAAGGATCTGATCTGTAGTGACACCTGTTGACCTAGACAGTAGCTCTCACGCCACCTGTTCCATGCCTGTGGGAGAAAGGGTGGTGCAACCCCTTTAAATCTTTAGTCTTGTGTGTGTCCATCCTCTTTATAACACTGTGGTTTTCTGGATGACAGGGAGTAGTTGCTATGTCTAAGGATTGGTGGGGCCAAAAGACAAGATCCTGAAATTTCCCTCTACTTTTTGTGGGGAAGGCTTTTGGACTCCGTCGAGCCAATCCTTCCTTCATTGGGGAACAGATGAATCTTCTGAAGTTCTTAATATCTTTTAAAACAATGTCAGTGAGATATCTCTTTATGAGACTTTTATTTTCAGGAAAAAAATTGGCACATGGAACTTCCAGCATACTTGTATTACACCACCTTGAGAATAATGCTTATCATGCACGATTCCTCTATTAGCACCCTAGATAACTGTAGTATCATTTGTTTAAAGAAGTTTGCATATATCAAGTTTGAGTTTCTGACAGAAAGACACGTTTATCTGGATCTCAGGGAATGCAGTCACTGGATATAGAAGTCATAAGTTAAAATAATAAAGCTTTGCTAATAAAGTTGGAGGGAAGATTTATTCCTTGGCATTCGCAAGTAAGTGAGGTTGGCCTAGAAACCATTCATTGAAGAGTCATATTAAGATTAGTTCTGTAGATGCTCAAAATGGAACAAGTAAATGCTCAAATTTGGACAGCGTCCTCCCACCCTGAGACTGATAACATATGGTATTCATAGATCACTCTCTCAGATAATTGTTTAAAATCAGCCACAGCCAGTATCACATCAACCTACAGAAGAAAATATAAGGAGTCATCATCATAGTTTGGGATGACTTCAATGGGATAGGGTAACTGAGGTTTTGAACTTGATTAATTACTTTATGTTACCCTTTCAGAGAGACCTCTACTTTTAATGGGAGCCTAGAAAAAATATAATTTGTGCCAATGGTTAGGCTAAAATTAGGCAGTGAGTCTTCCCATTCTAAAAGCAATAGAATTTCCTAGGTAGTGTCAACCTAAGTTTGAATTGATGAGGGTAAGGATAAGGGAAGAAGGATTGAATGTAACCATGTATTGCACTCCATACAATCTTTGCATGGTAGGGTACTTTATTCCAAGTGTTTTGTTTGAATTTAGTGCTGATAACCATCAACTGATATAATAATCCTTCCCATGACCAGTAATACAAGAAGATGTGAAACCCTGCTCAAGTCCCACGTCAGAGTCTCCTTTCACTTGGAACATCAGTTTAGTGCCCCCTGGAAATCCTTGCAAAGACTTTCCTGATTTCAGATTTTCCTCTCTCACATCAGTCATTACCTGCTACATCCTGTTGACTCCCCAGGAATAAATATAAACGTTTCTTCCAAGCCTCAAAACCCCTGAGTCCACATTTACAACCTATGACTCATCACTTTTTGCTTTTAATTTTACTATGTACTACATCCAATAGAGCCAGGTTGTAATTCTGGCCAACAACAGTTGGTACTTATAATTTGTGGCTTCTATTTATTTTTGTAGGGTGAATTAATTGCTGGCTCTATTAATCCTGCAAAACCCATGAATCCTTAATGTTCAGTTTGCTTAGAATGAGTAACAATGTATTTGTTTCTTTTCAAATATGACTTCTTACTGAGCTTTAGATGAGCTCCTTTTAGATAGCATGCCTTATATCTTAGATGATTTATTCACTTTCATGTTCCCTGGAATTTATTGCTAAAGGTTGACGTGAATACTTACAGTTTGGGCTCTAATATAATCTCCTGAATGGCAATTAATAAATAAAAGATGGTTACTATTGTTGACAGAGGAACTAAGCTTTCTCAGATAGTATTCTTCATCTTCTTGTTTTCGCCAAACTTCACGGCAGACATCCCCCGGGCTCGATGGTGTAAAATATCTTCTGTAAACTCCAGAGCTTTTACTGTTGCTTCAGTACCCCAAACCTCTATGTTGCCTTTTGTTTTCTTGTCAAAAATGATCTTATCTAATTTCTGTTTCTTCAACTTACCTTCCTTCCTGAGAATATTAGAAATATGCCTCTTCCTGGGTTTAATAGTAACATATTCTCAGTATTTATGACTCACAAGTAGCATCTGAAATTTGTTCCTGAAATTTCTGGAACTTTTTTTTTTCCATTTAATCTCCTCTCTGTTGGGCTGATTGAAGATTTACGCTGTTGCCTATAAAATGCAATGTTTATTATCATCATGTATATTGTTCAAAGTGCAAAATTGCCTCCTGTAAGCTAATGGTGAAACTATAAAACAGCATCTGATCTTTGCGTTTACCTGCTTGACTAATTTTATCCACGCTAATCTAGACCAATGCTCTTATTCTAGAGATGGGGAGGCTGTGGGCCAGTTTAAATAGCTTCACTCTAATCAAGTAGAGGGCAGAGGCCAAGTTTATCTGGCAGTACAGAGCAGAAATGCTGGAGTTAGGCTGCCTGAGGACAGTTCCCAGTTCTGACCCCTATGGAGTGTATAACTTTATACCAGATACTTCAGTGCTCTGGACGTGAGTTTCCTCATCTGTAAAATGGGGAAGTAACACTACTATAAGGACTATAGTGAGGTAATACAGGTAAAGCATTTAAAACAGGACTAAGCATGCCGTGCAATTAGCTATTAGAATTAATGTCATCATTCTGATTACTTTTAACCTATTGAGAACATATGGAAAAGAGTGTTTTGTTATTTAGCTCTGTATGTGTGCGTATGTGCATTAGGTCTTTGCTGTTCTTCAGTATTCCTTGTTTTACGCAACACTGTGTTAAACTGGTGGTAGCGTTCATGGTAGTGACAAAAGGAGAAACAAAAATAGTGATGAGAGTAAGAGAAGACGGTGTGGCTCATGGAGCCCTACTCTGTGTTTAGGCATTGAGTGAGGTACTTTTATGTGCATAATCCTTAAAGTGTTCTCAATCTGCATCTATTGAAATACTGCAAAGTAGTTCATTCCCAGAAATGCAAATGTAGCCTCTGTGTGGTAATAACGTTCATAACTCGAGAGGATCATGCACTTTAGCCCTGGTGGAAAAGGGCTCTGATAGAATTCCTCCCGTCTTTAAAATAATCTTTGTGCTGCTGGTATTTAGATAGCTTAATCCTGCTGTAGACAACCAGAAGGCTGGCTGCGGCTGGGAATGGAGGTCACGGCATGAGTGAAAGGGGACAGGTACAGTGAGAGGCCGTGGTAATGAAAAATATTGTATATCGGAACACAAGCTACTAAAATTCATAAGCCTCTTTTTTCTTTCTGGAGTTATATATTATATTTAAATATCACCCCTTTTCTAGATATCCAAGTAGAAAGACCATTTGGAACAATAAGCATTGATACAGAAAAGTTGTTTTCCTTGCTTTGCTTTATTTATTGACTAAATGAATTGCCTTCATGATACGTTAATAGCCACTAGAGTAAAGTGTTTAATCACAAAAATTACAATCACGTCAATGCTTTTTGATTTCCTTACAGTATGTTACTCAATAATAACAAAAATCCTGGTGGAAATAATAAAAGCTACCATGTGGGAAGCATTTGGGATGTGTGCTGTGAGGAGCCCTCATCACCTTAGATGCCCTGCGTGTGTGTGTGTGTGTGTGTGTGTACACACATATATACACAGTCTCATACATATTAGTCTCCAGAGAGTGGTGGAAATTTCAAATTCATATATACCTGTGTATATGTGCATATATGCACACATGCACATTTATTTAATATATATTATTTTAAATCTCACCGCAGCTTTTCAGAAAAGGAAACTAAGGCTCCAAGAACTCAACCCACTTGTTCAAAGTCACAAAAAGTTGGCAAAGCTGGGGTTTAAACTCAACCCTATTCACTCAACTCCCTTTTGTAAGATACCCAAACAAGTATTTTTGGAACAACACACTTTTCCAATACAACAAACTGCCTCATTTGGGAAAGGGTGACTTTTTGCATTTTCTTTTCCAGAATCTCCAAGCAAAGATTTCGGTCCAACCCTGGGTTTGAAAAAGTCTAGTTCCTTGGAGAGTCTACAGACCGCAGTCGCCGAGGTCAGGAAGAACGAACTTCCCTTCCACAGACCCCGGCCGCACATGGTTCGTGGCCGCGGCTGCAATGAGAGCTTCCGAGCAGCCATTGACAAATCCTACGATGGACCCGAAGAGTTAGAAGCCGGTAGGACAAATGCTTCCTTCCCAGGGTTTCTTCATCTCAGTATTATCCGCGAATCATGAGCAAGAATGTATGCTTAACTATGAAGAAAAATGATTTCGAGATCACAATTATATTTTTGATATTAAAAGTAATTCATTTTCCTGATGTGTTTTGCCCTTTGGCTTAACGAACATGGAATTGGCTAACACAATATGCAATTTATTTTATGGTGCAAATATGCTAAAGAAATGTTCTCCTTCACTTTCCCACAAGGACCAACTGTCATTTACCCTTAGGGTAGGAGCACTAAGTATGCATTTCTTGACATTCTTATTGGAGTCATTAGAAACAGCATCAACCTGAGGACTGGCTGCATTAACTGGGCAGAAGCAGTTAGGTTACATTTGTACTCAGAAACCTCTCCTGGAAATAGACTTGCCCTGTTTGTTTCCCGGCTTTCTGAGCCGATCAAGGTTAACAAGCTGGCTTTCAGAGACATTAGTGTTTTACCACATATCAGACCTTTCATACCATTGGCTGAACCACCAATTGTACCCCACTCCCAACATCAAACCTTGCTCCAAGTAACCAGATTTCGGCAGTTGCCCCTTCAAAGGATACAAGTAGCCACGTGGCAGAGTAGACCTCTGGAGCGCTTTATTCATTCTTCTGTATTTTACATTTGAACTTTTCTTGATATACTAACAGAAAGTGCCCCTGACCACGTGTATTGATTTTTCTCTCCATACAGACGGTCTGTCTGATAAGAGCTCTCGCTCCGGCCAAGGAGCTCTGAATTGTGAATCTGTCCCTCAGGGGAGCTCTGAGCTAGAGGACGTGGAAAATAAAGCCAGGAAAATCAAAAAACCAAAAGAGAAGGAGAAGAAGAAGGAAAAGGGCAAACTGAAAGTCAAGGAGAAAAAGCTGAAAGAGGAAAATGGAGATCCAGAAAGGAAAATAAAGAAGAAAGGATTTGGTGCCATGCTGAGGTATGGACCTGCTCTGAAAGTACCACAGGCTTTGTGGTGCTTTTTGGCTTCTCCTGGTGAGATCGCTCATTTCTGTGCACCCAGGCTTTCCTTCGTTGTTAGCCAAATGGGTAAAATCTAAACTGTGAATGCGCCTGTTCCTTTTCTGCAGAAGCAGAAGGAGCCTTCTTGGGTGGCTCGGGAAGTTCATGGTGATGGCAAGAGACTGTTACAAATTTGTGGTGAAAGAAAGGCTAATGCCTGGTAGAGATACAGGCAATCCCCACAGCCCTTGTTACCAGAGGATTATTCTAGTAAGTTAAATGCTTCTTCCATCAGTACAGGGAAGGCAGGAGGCGAGGAGTCCCCAACCGCTGCCTCTCCAACACCCGCTCTGAGTTAGAGAACACAGGGTAGATGGACCGCCCTCACCTGACCCATGGTTGTAGGTGTGTGAGTGGCCAGGCCTGTTGGCACAGAGGCCCTGTGGTCAGTGGAGATCCCACTGGATCTAGATTCACATGATCCTGTTCCTAGTCCATGACCCTCCACACACAAGCTGCTGGGCTTTACACGTTGCTCAGCTTCCCTGAGCCTTATTTCCTCACTTTCAAAGTGAGGCTAGCATACCCGCCTTCCCAACTCAATGGGGCTGTGACACAAGATTTCCTTCGAAGCCAGCCTGTCCGCTGGGCATGGCTCAGCAGGGCACTGTCAGAAAACCACATTGTCTCTTCTCCTACAGCTACTTCCAAATATGCTTTGTTGACACTGAAATGGTGCCCACATTTGATGACATCCCTCCAGCTGATGGCCTTCGGGTCACTTCGGGGACTAAAACAACGTCTGCGTCAGGGTCTAAAATGCCAATCCAATGTTAATCAAAATTCCCTTGCCCTGCACCCTCAAGCCTCAACCCCAAGGAGGGCCCCACCATGTGGTGGCAGATTCCACCTTCTCCTGCTTCTCAGTCTCTGGACCCAGGGGCAAGGGAAAGGCATTATTAAAACACTGGGGGAGTTGTACCTAACTGGTGTCTGAATCTAGAGTAATCTGGCTGACAGGGGCCTTTGTGAACTAGTTTTGTGGGTTTTCCAAACCCTCCCAAGCTCGCATGCATGGAGAAGGGAGAGGGTTAGTAAGTGTTTGCAAGTCTCAAGCAAACACGTAGGAAGAGGCATGACCATCTCATATATTGCCTTCAAATTCTCTGAGGGGTGTTCTTGCAGCCTTCTTATTTATTTTGTTGGGGGTGAGAGGGGAAGGGACCCCTTTGCATTACTTTCTTTACTCCTATAATTTTCCATCACAGAAAATCCCTCTCTCAATCTCTACTTTTCCCTGGGCTGAAGGTAAGAGGTGGGAGGTGATGCTGGCTACTTCTTATTAAGCCCTTAGGAGATGTCTCTCTCAAGAATGCTGGGTGGCATTTGTCATCAGATGTTTTTAGTTTGGGATTTCCAGCTGAAATTTCAGACAGAAACAAAGTTCTATTCTGTATGTTATTCGTATATAATACATGAACATAAATATAATCTGCTATTATATGTAAAAATGTGGAGAGAGAGAGAGATGCCTCGAAACTGCAAAGTCACAGGGCACCTGCATGGCTCAGTCAGTTAAGCCTCTGACTTCAGCTCAGGTCATGATCTCACAGTTCGTGGGTTCAAGCCCCACATCAGGCTCTGGGCTGCTAGCGCAGAGCCTGGGGCCTGCTTCGGACTCTGTCTCCCTCTCTCTCTGCCCCCGCCCCCACTGCTTTCACTCTGTCAATCTCTCTCTTTGAAAAATAAAAATAAATATTAAAAAAAAAAAAAGAAACCAAAGTCACATTTAGGCAACACAGATAATATTGATACCAGTGGGACAAATTTCTCAGGAGGCATTGGTTTGTTTTTCCTGGTGGTCTCTATAGACTCTGTCTTTCCATTTGACATTTTGAATGTTAAACTTGCCCTTTTTCCAGGTAATTATTATGATTGCCAGGATTTAAGGGCTATGCTTTAAGCATCTTGATAATAATGACACACACAATACAAATATTTAGAGAGAATTGCCTTTGAATTTATGGAGGTCAGAGATTAACAGTGCAGGCTCTGCATGGGGAATGCTAAATTCAATCCCAGCTCTTCTACTTCTCTTTCTAGGTAGCTTTGGGCACATTATTAAATCTAGGTGCATCAGTTTCCTCGTCTGAAAACTGAGTATAATAACGATGAGAATTACATTGGTTTGGTTAATGTAACATGCTTAGAACGGTGCCTGGCAAGACATGCATGTTCAGTAAGTGTTAATTATTGTGGCAAGCAGAATAATGACCCTCTAAAGATGTCCATGTCCCAAACCCTGCTACCTGTGAACGTTATGTGGGGTGACAAAGGTGAATCGCGATGCAGATGGAATTAAGGTTGCTGATCAGCTGGCCTTAAGGTAAAGGTAATTAGCCTGGATTTCCCCCAGTGGCCCACAGTGATTACATGGAGCCTTAAAAGTAGACGATGTGGTTATGGAAGGAAGATACAGAGAAATGCAACTTGCTGGCTTTGATTTGGAGGGAGGTGGCCATGAGCCATGGAATGAGGGCAGCCTCTAGAAGTTGGAAAGGACGGAGGAATGGATTCTCTCTGGAAAGCCTCCAGAAAGGAACGCAGCCTGCCAAATCCTTAATTTCAGCCCATTTCTGTTGTTTAAGCCACTAAGTTCATAGAAATTTTTTTACAGCATCAGTAGAAAACTAATAGAGTTTTTATAATTATTCTTACTACTTCTACAATATCGTAGTAATTTATAAGGAAGTCGTTTCCTCTTTAAGGTGTTAAAGAAAAAACTATAACGATTTAGCTAGAGTAGCCTATAAATATAAAAACTGTTAGAGCTTCACATATTCCATTTTCTAGAATATTACTAAATTAAGCCTTAACTTTGTGCTTCGTTTCAGATGGTTTGATATGGCAGGTTCAGACCCGGTTGCCCGTAACACAGAGCCTGCTTTCCTTTTGTTGCCCAATAGATGCCATATTGACCTGTGCTGGAAATCACAGGCTCTAGATCTTTCGACACCTCACAACTCCGCATTGTTCCCTTCTCCTGTTTTAGCAAAATTAAGATCTGAAAGGTGGTGTTTCATTTTATCTCCAGTGTAAAAATAGCAACTGTTTTCCGTAGCCTTTTGCGTTTGAGTTTGCGAGCATATTGGAGTTGCTGCTACGTGCACATTTTCAACAACAAAGAACACAAAAGCTGTTACCATTAGCCAACAGATTTTGCTTTAATTCTCATCTGTTGCTCAGATGCTATTGACTTAGTTTCTTTCTTATTTAAAAAAGATTGATTGCTTTAAGTTTCCCTAGGAATTGGATGTGTGGCTTAAATATGTATTACTTTTTCCATTATCTGAGTTTTGCAGCCACTCTCTGGACACGGAGCTTTAATGTAGGTTGTTGCACATGTGCCATGTGCCGTGGCGCCTGGCCGAGGGCATGAGCGAGGACCGAAATGGTCTCCCTCTCCTCACCAAACCATGCGTCATGAAAGGGCGAATGGTTAGCAGTGGCTTTGCTCTCACTTGTAAAAAGCTAAGTGTTGTGTGTTTTTCTGATATCCACCGGTCCATTCGCATTAATGATATGTAGTCGTACGGTTTAGCTCATTAGTTAATTTGACCTACTCCTGATCCTTTTGAAAAAAGTATGGGGCTCTCATTAATTCATATCTTTCGATGTGTGGTCTGGCTCCAGTATGCATTGCTGATTTCAGAATACCTTCTTGTAGATTCAACTGTGGCTCTTACACAGGCTATGAATTATTATGGCAAAATATGCAAATCAAGAACCTACCCACTTTCCTCCTTTCTCCAAGTCCTCTGTTTACCTGCTGTTGAAAGAGAACGTTAGGGGATCAAGGTGCTTCAATTTTTTCATCACGTGTCTGGCTTCCTTAAGGAAGCCGCCACCTGGTAGCAAGAATGCCTGAGGGTGAGGCTCAGACCCTCTCAGTACACAAGCCAATTGCTATGAGCCCCAGGCCCCTTTTCTGGGCTCTAGCAGATGTTTTCAAAGCATTGAAGAGAAATATCTTTTGGCTAACAAAACTTCCCCTGTCTAGAGCAGAAAGCCCAGCAATTAGACTCTGATTTCTTAGTTAATTAATAACCTCTTGGATCTTTACATTCCTTAAACTGACTTCTGTCATAGATCTGTGTTTAAAATCCATTCCGTTATATCATACTTGCTGTTGTTTCCTTTTGATATTATAGGTGACTCGCTTCAAAGACCTTTGAATTACCAACTTGTTGGACCCTGAAAGGAAAGTCTTGATGTTGATCAAGTGTGTTTTCTATCCCCTTTGTGTGAGTTGGTACCGGAAGGAAGTATGCCTAGTAAATTCCTTGTTGGCAGATTAGCAAATAACAAAGTGCTAAAGCTGCCAATAGAAAACTTCACCTGTTTCAAAAATTTGTTTGCCCATAGTCATTTGATTAATAATATATATTGAATGCTTACTCTTTGCCAGGCACACTCATCATTAATTTTCATTTATTCCACGTTTTCTATCAAAGGCTTATTTCGCATCAGGCACTGTTCTAGTCCGTGGGCATACAGCAGTGAAGTCCTTTCTTGTACGGTGCTTTTTGTTTGTTTGTTTGTTTGTTTAGGTCTTAATAAAGGAAAACTCATAGCCCTTTGAATTTCTTACGATGAGTGTAAAACAAAACAAGCAAAATATCACATAAACATGTAAACTACTTGTAGCAATGGATTTCTCAGGGAAAGGTGAGACATTTGCCTGGGATACCTCTGGGACAACGCACTACCTTGTCAACTTGAGGGAATCAATAGTCAATTTATTTGGTGCTGAACAAGACAGCCAGGCTGCGGCTCTTACATAATTTGCATTCCAGTGACAAGGAGAGAATAAACAACTAACTCAAAATAATTGAGATTATTTCAGACAGGAGAAGGTGTTATGAAGAAGGTAAAGTCAGAAGGAATGGTGTTGTCTCCCCCATAGTAACTAACTGCCTAACAGACTGTGTATCGGCCCAGCTACAATTTCGGCAGATTTGTTATCAGAACCTAGCATGCTGTGGTACTAATGCCAAATCACATTATGCCTGCTCTTTTTCTTTTCTGCAGCCTATGAATATGAGGTTATTTTTAAACCAACTTCACATGAAGGTATAACAAAACGCTCACCCAAACTGTGTCTGTTTTAGT